TAATTTCAAATTAAAGTAACTTTAAAGTGGACTTCTGTTGTTGCAGATTGTGGATAGCAAATAACTTATATTAGGATTGTAAAATGTTTCTTTTTGTAGAATATATGCTGAATTTGAGTCATCTTCCGAACGGTTTCTTAACAATTAATTATTTTTGCTGTGATTCACTTTTTTGACAAGAGGGTTTGTGGTTTGTTTCAAAATACCTTTTTACAGACGATGTTCTGCATAGCACTCTTCCAGAACATAAAACGTACACCGCTTTGTCACCATTACTAATATATATTGCCATATTTCTCGGTCCCCACAAGATTTCAAACTCTCTGTTACACTTACTAACTTGCATTTTTTGTTGTTTTGCTGAACTAGCCATGTTAAACAACAGTTAAAAATCGTAAATATAACACAGGTAATCTTTAAAATACAATTGTGTCAATGAAATTGACTGTGATAGGCGTAGACAAACTTTACATTATAAGCAATTGGAGTCTACGTAACTAAGGCAAGAAAATACCAAACGAGTGTTCTTCCCAGCAACCGATCACTCGCGTTTGTTCATAATACTTCAAAGTGAACTTAGAAATTTTGAAATAAAATGCAAACCATTTTGATCACTGGCTTGCGAAAAATATTGTGTCGCGTGCATCAGTGGCACGCGTGCCACTGATTCGCCATCCCTGGTATATGATAAGCCCATTGGGGTCACTAGTAATTATTAAGCTTGTCCTTAAATTTGATGAATTATAATGATCAAATACATTCGGAGTACTGATACATTTATAAGTATATATTATCATTGTAAATGTTTATTTTTGTTCTCAGAATGTATTTTGTTTTGATTCCTTTTATAGTTAAATTATTATTTTTGAAGTTATACTTCTTTTGGGGCGTTACAGAAATAGGATGAGGGTGAATTTTTACGATGCGCGCGCACACCGTCACGGATGCGACGCAAAACCGTCACGGAAGTGACGCACACCATCACGGAAGCGAAATTGCTTTGTCTAGAAATATACAGAAAGGGACAGATCATTACCGCATTCAAAATTATCAGGAAAATATTTCTCTTCACTTCCCTGAAGGGGACACCCGGATTTGAACCGGAGACCTCTAAAACGCATTCGAATACTTTACCACTGAGCTACACACCCCGTGTCAGCGAACCTTTGCTTTACGTTCCGTAGGAACGGATACGAAAATGCTTTGTCTAGAAATATACAGAACGGGAGAGATAATTCCCGCCTTCGAAATTCTCAAGGAAAAAAACTTTTTTCTTCATTTCCCCTGAAAAGAGACACCTGGGCTTGAACCGAGGATTTTCCGATCAGCAGTCGAAACCCCCTCGGCTATACACCTGCGTCAACTACCGTTTGCTTTGCGTTCCGTAGGAACGGATGCGAAAGTGCTTTGTCTAGAAATATACAAAACGGGACAGTTCATTCACGTTTTCGTAATTCTCAAAAAAATTATTTCTCTCCACTTCCCTGAAGAAGGGGGAACCTTGGTTTGAACAGGAGACCTCTCGAGATTAGCAGTCGAATGCTGCACCACTGAGCTATACCCCCGTGTCTGCGAACCTTTTGCTTTGCGCTGATTTGTGACGTCACTAATAGTAGGGATAGATCGTCCTTCGCCTACGGAGCTTCTCTGATGCATTTGTTTGAACACTTTTTGTTATTAACCCTCGATCACTCGCACGGGGTGTTCTGCACACCCCAGCAACAAGAAAAGCCTTCCAGGATTCTAAAAAGAATGCGCAGAAGCACGATTTTTTCTGTAGCTGCACATTTTAGGTCATTGAACCTTCAGGCCTAATGCAATCAATCTCGCTTGGGCAATTGGTATGTAACGACCTTCAAAAGTTTATCTGGGGTGCTGAGAACACCCCACGAGTGATTGAGTTATATTTTCGAACTCAAAGCATCTAAAATAGAGTACGATTTACTCTTTCCGTTTACAATTTTTTTTCATATATATTAATATGCATGAATATTTTATTGAAAATTTTAAGAATTGTAGGATAAAAATAATATAGTTCTATAAAATAATTGTGTAAATATAATTTTTTTAAAAAATTTTCAAAATATTTTCCAGAAATTATGACAAAAACTCCATGGGGAGAGAGAAACAGCGACTTCGTCGTCTATTAGATACTGTATCAACGGATTGTCAAGATGAACTAAGTGAATGCGATGACTGTGTAATTTCAGAATTAAACTTGGATAGATGGTGCTTGAAACTGTAAATTTTTGTAATATAGGTGGTGTTGATATCACTGATGAAATGTGCAGTATATATAATGTATCGTGAATATGTAACCGTTGGCCATTGCGAATATTTTATCATCTACTTCATACTGCAGGAAATAATGCTTCCATTGTCTATCATTCGGTTCTTACTGAAAAGAAAATGAGACGTTCAGTATTATTAGAGGAGATTAGAATGGATCTTGAGCAGCCACAGTGGGATAGAAGACCGGAACTGCCATACCTTAACAAAACACTCAAAGGTAGCTTTACTGACACAGAATGTATTAAAAAGATCATTAATCCACCAAAAAAGGGGCGTTGCACTGTTTGTCCACGAATAAAGGATGTGTACCCCGTTTTGGTCTTCAAAAAAATGTTATGTTTAAAGCTATGAATCCCATTCTTTTTGAATGTTTGGAAAAAAAATATTATTTTTTTTATTTTTACTACCCCTTTATCTTTTAAAAAAGTATATTTTTTAAATTTTATACGTTTTTTTTTTGGGGTTTTTTATGAAAAAATAAAATTGGTACTTTTTGGGGAAAAATTTTATAGGTTTTTTTTTAAAAATTTGGGCCCCATATGTATGAATGGTTTTTAAAAATTTTTTTTTGGATAAAAAAAATATCTTGTACTTCAAAAAATGGGAAAACCCAACCCGGGGAAATTTCCCCCAAAAAGGTCGGTTTCCCTTCGAAGGGGGTTTTTTATTGGCGTGGTGTCTGGGGACTTTTAGGGGTATTGGTTTTTTGAAAAAAATTTGACCATAGTTTAAAAAAAAACCGGGTTTGGGACAACTAAATAATTTTTCATGAATTATGGGGAGTATTTTTTTGGGGGAATTTTATTTCAAAGAAAGGGAAAGTTAAAACCCATTACCCGGGGAAAAGGCAATTGAATTAAAAAGGGGAACTCATTAGGTGATATTAAATTCCCTTCCAGGGCGGGGCGAACTGCCCCGATGCACGAAATACGACTTTTTGACGGGTGTTGGGGGCCCTTCTGCCAAAAAAAGGTTGATGTGGGGTTTTTTTAAAAGGGGACGCTAGATGGCGTTGATGGGAATACTTTTAAAGTTTTAAATTGCCGCCCTTTCGGAAAATAATTTTTTAACCCTTTTTTAAAAAAGGGGTTTCCCTTTACAAAAAATATATATCAAAATTTGGGATTTAAAAAATTTTCCCTTTTTTTAAATTTAACGCGGAAAATTTTTGGGGTTTTTCTACCCCAGCAGTCGGGTAGCGAAAAAATTTGGGCGGTGACCACGGGTTAAAAAACATACTTAAAAAAAAAAAAAATTGTAAATTTAAATTTTTAAAATTTTTCGGTACATAAAACAAAGAGTAAATATTATTTTTACCTATTTTTAATTGAAAGTATATGGTTATGAGGTTTTACCACGAACACATTGCGGAAGAACAAAAAAACCACATTTTTTTCCCTTGAGAAAAATTATAAAAACCCTTTGGGGCCCTTCTTATATTTTTTAAAGTTATCCTTTTTTTTGGGCTTGGGGAAAAAAGGAAGGGGAAATTTAAAATCCGCGCGCACAGTCAGGGATGCGCGCTACCCCCAGGGCCACCCATGCGCGCACCCCAAAATTTCCCCCTTAAAATTTTAACATGCCACTTTTTTTGGTAATAGGGAAACCCGATTTTTTGGGGGGATTCTTTAAATAATTAGCGTTAAACCGTATCTGTTTGGGGTTTCTTCCCCCCTTTTGATTTCCCCACAGCTTTTGGGGCCCAAAATTTTGGCATCCGAGCCTCCAATCCATTAGGACCCGGTTTATTTGATCCCCTTTTCTTCCTTGTTTTTTCCAGTTATTATAAAATTTTATGCTCATCCCCCTTCTCTTCCATAATTTTTTAATAGTTTTATTAAACCTTTTTAAAATTTTTTAAATCCACAATATCATGGCTCCTGTTTAGTTTTTGGGCCTTTTAATTTAAACCATTTTTTCCCTTCATCGATACCCATCCAGTTTTAGGGTGCTTCCTTTTATTCTGTAGACATGGGGGGGGCTTAAGCACCCAACATATCATGCTCCATGTTTCTTCGACTAGAAAAAAAAATTTCACCCCCTAATAATTGAAATTGGGAAATTGATTTTTTTGGGGGTCCGCCATATTTTCACATTAGCACGAACTTTCTGGGAAATTTACCCCTCCTCTTTAACAGAGCTTCCCCAGAAATAACCCCCAAAACCTATGATATCTTGGGTCGACCGCACCAGGTGGATTCAATTGTTCTTCCTATGATCATCCTAGAATATTTTGGACCATGGCCCCATTTCTTTACCCATATTTTAGTTTTTAAAATTATTTAAAAGTTAAAATTTTTTTTAAAACCCGCAGCTCTGGGATTTTGAGATTCTTTAAAAAAAAATGACCGTAGGTTTCTCCTTTGAATTTTCATCTGTTAAATTCTTGGATAGTGGGCTTAGGGGGAGCAATCAAAAAAAGAACCCCCATGTTTTTCTTGTTGGGTTCGATTTTGATGACGTAACGATTTTACAGAGATAGAAGGAAAAAAACTTTGTGACTCCTACTATATTTTTCGTTGGGATGTACTGACCATTTACGTCAAGTTGCCCCGGGGAGAATTGGCCTTTTCCCCGATGGGCCCCCCCATTTGCAATTTTAAATCCTTAGGCTAATGGATTCCTTTGTTTGCTCACAACCGCCCATTTTTTGAGTTGCGGGGGGTTGTTTCTATTTATATATTTTATTTAATTGTTTTAAATATTTTAATTTTTTTATAATGACCATAAATCGGGGGCTCTTCAGGCGGCTGTCTTAATTTTTTTTTCTTAGAAACAATTCTTCTCTCCGAGACATTCAATATGAGGTCTCAGATATCACATTCGGTTCACTTCATCCCCAGATACAGTCTGATACCCCCATGTTATTGGTCTTATTGTTCCCGTGCAGGGGTGTTTAAATTTATTTACATCATGATTATCTCAGGTTTGGCTGGTCCGATTGACTGCAACTCTGCTCGGGACCACCGTACGTCCTTGTCCTAGCTTGCCCTGCTAAAGATTTTTAGAAAGATTTTATTCTTGTTAAGCCAAAGATGTATAACTTCTTGCGTGCGTACATAAGTACACACACACTTTTTTGAAGTTATACTTCTTTTGGGGCGTTGGAGAAATAGGATGAGGGTGACATTTTACGATGCGCGCACACACCGTCACGGATGTAACGTAAAACCATCACGGATGTCAAAATGCTTTGTATAGAAATATACAGAACCTTACAGATCATTGCCGATTGCGAAATTCTCAGAAAATTATTTCTCTTCATTTCCCTGAAGGGGGAACCCGAGTTTGAACGGGGTACCTCTTGATCTGCAGTCGAATGCTCTACCACTGAGCTGTACCCCCACGTCTGCTAACCTTCGCTTTGCGTTCCGTAAGATTGATTAGAAATATTTAGAATGGGACAGAACATTCCCGTCTTCAAATTTCTCAAAAAAATATTTCTCTTCACTGAAGAAGAGGAACCGGGTTTGAGAACCGAGGTTCTCTCGATCTGCAGTCGAATGCTCTACCACTGAGCTATACACACGTGTCAGCAAACCTTTGCTTTCCGTAGGAACGGATACGAAAATGCTTTGTCTAGAAATACACAAAACGGAACAAATCGTTCCCGCCTTCGAATTTCTCAAAAAAAAAATCACTTTTCGGGAAGAACGGGCACCCGGGTTTCAACTGGGGACCTCTCGATCTGCAGTCGAATGCTATACCACTGAGCTGTATCCCCCGTTTTAGCGAACATTTGCTTTGCGCAGATTTGTGACGTCACTACTAGTAGGAAGAGATCGTCCTTTGTCTACGGAGCTTCTCTGATCCATTTGTTTGAACACTTTTTGTTACTAAACCAAACATACTTACAGAAAATTTTTAAAAAATTAGTAAATTAATCTTTAAATTGTGTTCCATGTGTACACAAAACATAAGAGTAAATATTAGTTTACCTATTTAAATAACAATTGCAAATATATGATTATACATGTATTTACTGCGAACGCATTGCAATGAACATAAACACATTTGTTACATTGTAAAAAAATTATAAGAAGGTTTAGTATTCGTATATTTATTTTTGAAGTTCTTCTTCTTTTTGGGCGTTAGGAAAAATAGATGAAGGTAAATTTTTAAAATGCGTGCACATACCTTCACGACACCGATGAGCGCACACACACCGTAGTATAATATTTTAACATGCCACTTTTTTGGTGCTATGGGACTGATATTTAGGGGATCATAATAACTATTGTTATAAACCATATCTGTTGGGACGCATCCCCTC